GGAATGTGTAAATCTTTGGAGTTGAAAAAAAAAAAGTAGAAAAAAAATTCCAGCTAACTTTCAATAGAAATATACATTTGGTGTTGTCTCATTAATCAGCCATAATCAAAATAACTTTAGCGTATCCAACGGCAGACTGCCGTCATCTATAGCAATAAAATACCTTTAAAAAAAGTTGGTGAAAAAAGGTCGGAAGAAAAAAAAAACAAGACACTGAAATATGAAGCAAAGAGAGGATTAAAAAAATGATTTTTTTGTAAAACTTATTATTAGTTCTTCAGTAGTGTTCGATTACTGAAACTTGCAACTTCTAAACGATGTAAAGGCTTCAGTTTTGTGACAGCATAATTACTTTCAATCCTATTGATACACTAAATATTCGACAAAAAAAAAACTTCAAAACCAACTATCTGTTAAATTTTTCTTTTCGATTTAAATAAGATAAAATGTCGGTCCAGATTCTAAAATTAGTAACTGTTAAAAAAGAACAAAGATAAATGTCAACAACAAAAAAAATTTTTCTAAAAATAATATTTAATTTTTACTCATCGACTGAAATCCTCCAACAACTACCTTATATTTATTAATAATTTCAATATAGTTTTTTTTTTTCAAAGGAAGTGAAAAGAACCTTTAAATCACAGCATTTCATCCACTTTTTTCATGTTCTTTCCTAGGAACTTTACTTTACTTTCATTAAATGTTACTCTACGCAAAGATATGAAAAAGTGAAAATGTTTCTGAATGTAACCTACACATAACTAAGGAAGACACAGTCAGAAAATCCGTAAATTATTACTGCAACTAATCTCTAAAAGTAATTTTTCATGATTTTAAACTGTTTATGAGGAATAGTCACTGACACTTGGCAAAAAAATCTAGTAAAAAAACCATTCATTGAATTTTACCTCCCAACAGTTATTTTAGACTGCATTAATTTAGTCAAGATTTACAGTTTGATTGATCATTAAAAATAAATATAACTATTTTCAAATTATAAAAAAATCAATAACTGTTCTTCTGCCTAATTTTCATACACTTAGAATGCCATTGTCCTCATAGACCGCTTACTTACATTACTTATAAACCTTTATCCTTTCGATATACAGAAATTTCGTCTAAAAGATAGAAACATTTATGACATTTAACCGCTTTTATAGTTTTCCAGGTAATTTCTTATTTAGTTTTACATTGCTTTTAGTCTTCATTGAGACACAATTCAATTGTAAAAATCCTAAATGACCCGTTAATGAAGTTCCTGTTTCCTGACTTATAAATATTACCTTTATAATTAACTGCTGTTCACCGGCTGCATAATTAAATAAACCATTATTTTGCTTGACATTTGCAAAGAAGTTAATTTTGCATCTCACTTAGCAAAAGATACGCTAGGATAAGAAGTACAATATCTTAGAAAAAAACTACAACTCTGGTCCTCAAAAAACTTCTAAGACTGGAACTAATGAAAACTTCAATTTTCAATCGCCAAGTGAGTTTTCAGAACACCATGACAATTTTAAAATCTTACAACATCGCACAGCGTGATTAACCTCTAATATTTCTGATCGGTAGTTACCTGAAGGTTGGGAAAAAATTGGAAACAAACTCTGAGTTGAACTGGATCTCCTAGCTTAACAAGAAAAGTATATAATGTTCCACACTTGAAAACTTCCCTAACACTTCTACATGTGCCGTTTTCCAGTCATTATGAGAATCTACGCTTATCTTTCGCAATAATCGATATTGACTTTGTATCTCCTTTCCTAGTGTCCTTACTCTCCGACACTGTAAACACTGTGCTTTACAGAGCTTACTAAACACAAACTGCTCCAGTCAGATTTGAAGGCTTTGCTTAGAATTAATACAAACCGATTATAACAAGAATTTTCTTTAAAATGTCAAGACCATGTTGTCTTTAAGTAGCGATCAGCAGAATTTCACTTCTACATATGACTCTGTGCTTCTGAACTCAAAATTAAAAGAACAATCGCTCTCAACACTTCTAAAACAGCAAGCAAAAGAAAAAGTTTAAAGTTCAACAAAACGCAAGCTTAGCCTATAAATTTGTGCCTTTTATAACCCAAGAAATAAGCTTTCCATTTAAAGCTTGAAAATGCCGTTTCTTTTTCTACCTTACTAGGGAAGACAGGCAACGGAAAAATAACTTAGAAAGTAAATCCCTTTCCTGGACAGAGCCTACTAACTCCCCTGAATGATATCTTTAATGGTGGAGATCAATTACTAAAAAACGTGCTGGTATCTGTTACATATTCAGAATACGAACAGACTACTCAAGCCCACTGCCCTAAGAGCTTTCGTCGATCCCATAAAAGTAAATAATTTTATTAGCGCAGAATTTCAGGGAGAATCACTTTGAAAAAAACAAAAAGCCAATAACCAAACTTCCTTAAAAATATTATTGCTTCTAAAATCACTGTTGTAGGTATTCGTCAGTCTACAACGGCATGCCCAAAAATGAGATGGTAAGAAACTTTTCCACATGAATCCCCTATATGAACTGCCAAAATTAAAACTTTCTTGCCGATGTCAGTTGTGCTCCACTGAAAAAGTGAGCTTTTTTAGAAATATATTGCTACCTTGTATTTCTAAATATTCTAAAACCTCACATTTCCCGAAAAATCTGAAAAAACTACAACAAGTTTTGATGCTGTGAGAAGTACCAGAAAAGAATACTAAAGGTAGATATCTGAGAAGAAACTAGTCAACTAAATCTCTAGCAACAACAACTCTTGTCATCCCAGACCCATGCGTCATAACTGGCTCTAAAGCAGTTAGTATACTGCTAAGATCAAATAACCCTCCTCATCACAGCCTCCAAATAATTCCTTTCCCTCCAAGTACAACTTTGATGCCTGACCATAATTCGTTCAAATTTGAGTTAAAAAGCTACAGTTTTTTGGAATGGAATAATACAACCATCATCAATGTTACTAATCGTCAATCACACAAAAAGTAGAAACTGCTAAACAATTAACAATTAAATGTCCCATGAAAAGAATAACAGCGCCTTTCAATAACTGATATAACGATGCCACTGAACATAAAAGTGTAATATCTTTAACATTCCGTGTTACGCACTCTCAAGCGATAAATCAAAAAATTTTCTACACACTTAATTTAGAAAGCTATCAAGTTGTTCTTCTCTTTCCTTCTTGACTCTTGGAAAAACTTTTTAATCAAAGTATGGAAGAACGCTGCTAAAATCGTAGAAATATAGTAAAATGAGTGGAAACCACTCTAGAAGTATCGACAGAAGCAAATGGACCGAAAAATCAAAAACGTCCTAATACAAATGACGCTATATATATAAATATAAATATATCTATATAAATCTAATTATAACTGGAGTTTCCCAACAAGTGACTGACGAAGAATGTCGACGAACGCGTCGAGTTCCTTCATTCGATGGTAAGCCTGAAAAATCATACTAAATCAAATCAAAGCCTAATGCTACAATGAAATTTGCGTGGAACCACATGAGATATTACTTTGAATTTGCAGAAGCCATTTACGGGTAAGTTAAGAAAAGGAATGTGGTTACTTCGTCATTGAAACCTCTGATTCTCTGTTCGTGTCGGCTGACGAAGAATCCAAGATCTGTTGCTGCTATCTCATACATGAGCGGATTACGTTCTCTAGTAACAAAGTCTTCTCTGATAGCCTTGGCGTACATAGCCAGTAACTGAGAATACTGTGCGTAGCAATCGGTCTCTAGTTCTTCAGCATCATCGTCACGCGTTTCTTTCAGATATTTTAATATAGCAGCCTGATTAATAAGTGTCAGTAAACAAACAAGTTCCTAATTCATCCAAAGAAACTTAAAATGTTAATAATTTCAAAGAAAATACGATTGATCTACCCCGTCCTTACAGCCAATGATCATCATCCGGCTCAACTGCCTCTGGGGTGTCCACAGAGCACATTTCATCATCAAACCATCTTTCACATTCGAGTTCATATAAGCAGCGAATAACAAAATTTGAGAAAATAGCTCATCACCCATTCCATCTTCCTCGTAATGTTTAATTAAGTCCTCATAACTGTAACAAGCCAATATACAAGCTAACAAATGATTAAATTCAAGACCTAACAAAAAAAATTTAAATTTAATGAAAGAAAGTAAAGAAAACATGCACTTACAAAGGTAAAAATGCATCCAACCCAGCAACTTGGTCAGCCAGTTGGAATGATAACAGACGATCAAGAGCTTTAGGAACTATATATCGTTGCAGGATACGGTCCACACAACTTCGGACACAGTCATCCATAAAAACTTCAGAACCTTCAAAGATTACTTTCTGAATCAGTGTCATAACTATTAGAAAGCAATTTATCAGCATTTTTACAAACTAATAACAACGAACTGGAGTTACAACTTGTAATAAAAACGAATAACAGGTAGAAAGAGCAACAGAGTGTCGAAAGAATATGAGATATTACCAATCAAAAAAATCTCAGATATTCGTACATATGTATCACGGGGAGACGTAAAAGCTTGAAAGAGTGAAGGCCTTTCGCTCATTAACAAAACAGTCCAAAGCAAGGCTATACGAACGACCACAACATCCTCTGCAGAAACGTTCCTTAAAAACGGTACAGAGCTCAAAAAAGAAAACATTACACTACCTCAGCTGATTTCAAGTGGTAGTATCAAAAAAAATTCTAAGAAAGCTATCATTACAGCAGTGTAAAAAACGTAAATGGATTGATAATTGTTCACGACAACCTCAAAGCGGAAAACCACCAAAAAATCAAAAAAAAAAAAAACAAGACCATAATAATTCTATAGAATATTACCAAAAAATAAGGTCACCGTAAAAAAAGGATGACTTTAAAACAATCTCCCACAATCAAAAGGCTGAAACGTTACAAAAAATTGAGACCACAAACCCGAAAACAGCAGTGAAAAAAAAAAGCTACAATACCCGTCTTTCTCACATACGTCAAGAACTTTCCTGATAGGGGAAAGCATCCAACAACTTTGTTCAAGAGGGTTAATGTCAGAAGCAAATTTGTAAGTCGAAATACCACTGGAGTCCGGCCTGAAAAACATGATCAGCTCCAAAATAGTCAAGAGATCACGCAGAATTGTAAGCAAGTTTTTTTCTAAAGAGACTATACAAAAAGGATGTACCACTTTTCTTTGAACACTTTTGAGCCGAAAACACCTAGAATAATATAACAAATGCGATTTATACCGTTCATCCAGATATAATCCTTTGATGGCAGGTAGGTTTGCTCGAGCAGTTTTAATTAGGCTATCATCGCTGCTGTAAACAAAAAGAAACCAAACCTTGAGAGTGTAAAATTTATTTATTTTTTTCTTAGACTGTTATTCATAGACAAAGTTAAAATAACCTTTTCTCTTTCTCAAGCCCATCAAAAAGGCGTAGAATGTTCTGTTGTTTCCGAGGGACAAGCGACTTTGCACATTTACTAATGAAATCCAAATGTACAGCCTCCTAAAATAGGTAAAATTCCTATCCCATGAATTAAAACCAGACGGTAAAGTTACAAACACCGTTTTCAAAAAATCTCTTCTTTGATTAAATGGGCAGTAAACAAACTTAAAGCAATACACCACCCCTGTAAGCAAATGTAACGAAAAAAGCCTACAGCAGCAATCCTCGCATGTGGAATTTCTTCTACACCAAATGAATGGGGAATGCCTTGAACTGTCTGATCACGAGCAGTGGTAAAAACTTCTAGTTGCTTAATTTTTTCTTCTGAAGTTGAGTTTTCCTCCGTTTCTTTAGTAGAAATAGGCGCGGCTGCGGTTGCAAGAAGGCGCGATTCCTTGAAGTAAGATCCTGAAAGCAACAAAGAATTACAAACCATTCCGAATAGCACACTGACTTCACTAATTAAACAGATGAAATAAAATAGATTTACCAGAGACAGCTTACCTTTTTTTCCCTTCCCCTTGCCACAAGATCTTTGTCCTCTTGAAAGTAAGAATTTTACAGTTTTCTCATCTGCAAGATCACACAGATCCCAAAAGCCACAAATATACGAGCAAATAAGAATAGTTTCTACTTAAAAATCAAGTAACTTTCGTCAAATATAAAGTAGCTGTCTGAGTGAAGACGACTCAAGTACAGTAACACAGTTAACAACCAGTCGAGTTTCCCTGTAGTTGAACCACTCAAACCACTTATAAAGGATAGACTAACCAAACCGTTCATATATCTCTCGTTGGGCTTTTTTTATTTCTTCGTCCGTTAAGCTTCTAATTCGCTTCTCGTTTTCTTCACTCACATCATCAAAGATATCACTCTCAACTCCTTCTGAATACAAAGGTTCCACTTCTAAAAGACCTTAGGCATAACAAAACAAACCAGGTACGAGTTATTAAGGCTAAAATTAAAAATTAGAAAGGTTAAGACGAAAAAAGATCCAGCAAAAGAGATCACCATCGACTTTGCCACAAATTCTATGAAATTCAGTCGCAAAAATGCTCAAGCCTTCCTTTCTCTTCCTCAGCGGCTCGTTGTCCTTGTTTGGCAAAAAATAACTAAATTTGCATCACAGTAATTAAACAAAAAACAAACAATAGTTATGGAGAACTTAACAGACTGACCATACCTTGATAAATCAAGGACTTCTGGAAATCCATCTTCCTTCGCATATTCATCACAGATATTACTAAAGCAATAGGCCGCAGTTCCCTCACTGTTCAAATACTCACTATTTTTCTCCTATGTCCGAGAAAAGGCAGTATTTGTAAACGAAAACACTATTAATGAAAACCAAAACTGGCATAAAAAAACGCTGTTGTAAAAATACTTTAAACTTTTAAAAATGTTATACTGGTATAAACTTAGGTTTATCTAACTTCATCCTGAAGTTGTCAAGGATGCATTAAGATAATATAAGAAGAGTAAAAAGCATTTTCAAATTAAGCACTTTCATCAATACCTGAACATCAAGAAGCACGTTCGATGAACACTCCTCCTTAACGGCATCTAAATTTAGGTGGAAACGACCAGTCGGAAACGAACCTTCATGCATCTTAGTTAACAACGAAAGCACAACAAATGAAGAGCATGAACAGGACTAATTACACGTAATAAATTTTTCCAAAGTACGCAGTTTTCTTAACCTGAAAAAAGTAAATTTTAAAACCAAGAATTCAAACGTGCAGATGCAATGGACCATTTCTACCGCATGTGTCGGTGTTCCAAAATTGCATAGAACTGTCTAATCCTTGCCTTTAGTAGTTTAAGCCTAAGAGGCTTCAGTTCTTTAATACGACTTTTAAACTTTCTTGCCTTAAATAAGTGTAAAGCCTGAGAGGCCTACTATCAATTTTTTTCAGTTAAAATTTACTGCATGAGACCAAAAAATTGGATGAATCCAGATTTGCGACTTCCTGTAAAATCAATCGGTAAGCAATTTAAATTCCATGCAAATTGTTTCAAACTTTTTGTTTCAAAACCGCCTCCCAAAAGGAGCATACTTTAAGCTGAAAAAGACTTTTCGCCAAAAAAGTTGTCAAAGTCAGATTTTTCTAAAAATAATCCCCCACTTCTGCTCCTCAGACCTCTACTAATCTTTTTTTAACCTCCAGTCGTTCATCTACTTATTTAAATTTTATGGGAATTTGAAAATGCCGATTTGAAAGTAGAAAAAGCGTGCCTGCTAGGGCAACTTGACTGAAGTATAACAGAAAATACCACTGGATTTCTCTTCGCGGGACACTCAGTGAAAGCTTTGCCTTAAATGATTAATACGTGTTCCCGACTCAAATGTCATGAAAGGTACCAAAGATTTTGAAAAATTGCGAGTTCCACAAGGATTCCTTCTGAGCCGTTTTTTCTTTATTTTAATACTTTAAAATGAACACTGGCCACTACCATCACACCAACTCCTAGATCTTTTCAGAAGAACTTTACCGCCCAAAACGACTACTGAAACCACAGTTTATAGGAAAGACAAAAATTCAAAGTAGATCCAATACGAAGAATTTAGAAAATGAGTGCTGATGGAAGCATTATCAGTCTGGTCAATAAAATTTTGTGCTGTAATATAAAGAGCAAAAAGACGCTTGGCAATTTGCCACTGAGAAAAGACTTTTGAAGTACAATAGCTAAGGACTTTGTGTTGTTGGTCATGCGAAGTTAGGCGCTTCCATTAACAGCTAAGTGTCTTCCTGCTTTACTTTTCTTCTTCGTTTCAGCATATGGTTATCAGACTATTTTATGTCTAGGATTTTCTTATGTTTAAGAAAAGAACCGTATCAACTTTAACTGAAATTTACGAGTTTTTTGGGAAAACAACTTTGGCTACTGGTGTGACACGCCGAGTACTTATTTTCCATTTAGCATAGCCAGAAGGTTTTTAATCACGTGGCTTTGAAGCTGTGCTGTATACCTGACCCGGAATGTTAGTAGGCATTTTTATAACCAAAGCTGGGCGCGATCGCATGCCTTGAAAAAGGAAAACCAGTAAGCCGGAAAACAGTTTGGCGTGGTTCAGCTATTTATATAGCCTTTATGTAGCAGCTACTGTATACATTTGAAATACACGATGTGTTTCACTGCAAAGTTCGTTTTTAATTTGGTGTGCAAAAAAAAGTGGACGTGAAGTTTATATTTGCAGTCTTAAAAGCTAGCTCGAATGCTTACCATAATTTTCTTTCAATGAGGATTAGACAGTATGGGGTTTTCAAACACTCGCATCAGCTGTCACCAAGTTCTGGTCAATATCTGGCTAATTCGTCGTACTGTAACACCTTTTTTATTTCATGGTGAAAGAAACTTGTCAACTTTTACTTTAATTGCTTAATGATGAGGGTTTTAAATTCAAGACTGAACCGTAAAGTAAGAACTACAAATTGACTCTATTTCATGAAGCACTCGACAGAAATTCCTTTTTGGAAGGTCCTCCTAAGTACAGCGCTCAGAAATCGTGAAAAGTAGCGAGAATGCAGTGTCAAAAATTTCTTTTTAGTCCTGACTCGAAAAAGTACAGAGCTACAGAAATTTTTGGAAAATCTTGTGTTTTTTTTCAAATTAAATAAACCGGAATGGCCGTTGGCCTCTGTCGCATTGACCTCTAAACCATTTCGGGAAACCTCTATCACTGAAAGGAAATAATAAAAAAACAGCTTGAGGGAAAAATAAAAGTTTAGTGACTTATTGATACAGAGAAGCTGAAAAAGCGACACGGAAAAGTAAAAGTAAAAAAAGTATGGAAAAGTTTACAGTAATAGGAATTTATCAATTGTTGACTATCAAGGAGCACGTCAAATGAACACTCTTCTTTAACGAAATCTGGATTTGACAGTTTGGAATGAATTCTTGATAAATTTAATCATTGGGATCAATTAGCTGCACTCCTAATGTGTGTAATTTTCACAATACGACGAAATCATCTTCAGAAAGCAACAATTCACTTGCAAAAATGTTGTTGACTTCACTTCTACTACATATGCGTATGATCCAAAACTTTTCTTTATGAATCTACCTCATTGAAGAATGCTTGGCAAAAAAAAGAATTAGTGGAAAGTAAAGCTTTAAAAATAAATAATACTTTGCATAAAGTGACTCACTTTTCAGTCAACCTTTTCAATTTTTTCAAACCGCTAACCTGTAGAACTCGGCACTCGATTTCAAATTAAGCGATATATCATACAAAGTGTTTTGGGAGCACAGGAAGACCTACAGAAATCATTGAGCTCAAATTAGTATTCAGAAAATTCCAGTGATTAGAAACAGTATTACAAAATGTATTTGAACAAAACGTTTCATACTTTCTGTTTTGTACAATGACAAATTGCACTTTTTTTGAAGGGGATTGGCAGGCCTGAAGCACATAGGAGAGGCAGTAGTTTTTGAAAGGCTAAATTATAGATGTTGAGTGACTAGAATAATCAAGCACTTTTGCACTCTTACAAGTTCCTGCATTCAAATAAAATGAAGACAGCTACGTATTTTCACTGATAAACAGTTACAGCTAAGAACAGAAAACTGCTTCGTCTTCACACCTTTCTCCTCTGGCTTTATTAGTGACAGTGAGGGGAAATGAATAAAACAAGGATGGAAAGTGGCTGATAGTTGAAGGAGAATTTTTAACAGAAACAGAAAGAGAGGAAGGGCTAAGAATCTTCTAAATTAGATAAAAAATCTGTCAAAACAACCAATTTTTTGACCAACCTAAAGTTTTTAGGACTTCGACGCAGATTTTAGATGGCTTGTACTCAGTGGACAGGAGGCAACGGTTATTGAGTATTTAAGTATACAAAATAACAAAGTAATTGAGAATGTGTACTCCATTTTATAAATTCACAGATTGCTTCCTGGACATTATTCTTAAACATATTTGTGCAGCTGACCTTTTTCTACCTGTGATGTTAGAAGCCTTTTTACTGAAGTGCTTGTTAAAAATTTTAACAAGTGTTGTTTGTATTACATTGCTTCACAAATAATTAATTCAACTCATTTGCGTTGTCTGCTGCAGAGTATTTTGGTGTACCGCTGCAGCACCATTGTCAGCAAGTGTTCGAACGACTGAAGAACAAGAATAAGTTTTTATTTTTTGTAATTTTTTCGTATATTTTAAAGCATTGATGCCTTTTACATTGCTTAAGGATGGCAGACTAACTTTTTGGTGAAGAATGGAGTGCGTTGGAGAGCCTGACCTGATACCAGCATGGTTAGTACGTTGTGGTGAACATCCGTATTGTCCCGTGGTTCACTGCTTCCGGCGAGTGAATTGCCTTGTTAGTAAGTCGTCTTCTTTAGTTTTGCCTTATTCAATATCGATCTACTATTGTATTTATGATCAGTGCCATAAGTTATTTTTTTCGTACTTTCAACCTTTCCCAAAATTAATAAAAATATTAGTCGAAAATAGCTTGACAAAATATATATATTTTTTTGATTTACCATTTGCTGCTGTGGTAATATACAGAAATAGTATTTTAAAAGCAATCAGATATCAATGACCGTAACAACTTTTTCGAGACCGGATGGTGTATTACTGGGTTGGTACATCAAGTATCTGTTTAGATTTTTCTGCATTTGTTTTAGCGATTAGATTAAAAAAGCTTTTCACATTGCTGCCAAAATAAGATTTCTATTTGGTTTCTCTGAGACCACTTGTAAAATATTGTCGCGAAGAGGAGAGCTGTGGTCGAAGAGCCAAGCAAAGATAACTGTTTGAGATTGTCTTAAAACAACTAAAAAGCTTCTTCTGCTAAAACAAAAAGGAATTAAACAACGATTTAAAAAAACAGTTAAAATTTTTCACTAGAAGTTTTACTCGTGCAGTCGATGGCTTAGACTTTTTCAAAATCCTTACAGATGACATTTGTTGTATGCGTCCAACACTCTATTACACCACTTTTGGTTGTTAGAAAATGAATAATTAGTCAAAGTCAAAAAACTTCTTCAACAGTTTAATGCATTAAACTTGGGCAAGATAGACTAGCAAAAAACAACAATTGAAACCGGCATTTTTATAAAGTTATGAGCTTTGACTGGTATAACTGCAAAATAAATACTTTGGTGAAACTAATGGTAAAGCTTAGGTGTTTTTTGGTCCAAAATCGGTAAATGATGGTCACAAAAGTTATGGATGTCAACAGAAATGTATTATTACAGACAGAGATTTGAATCGTTGTTTAACTGAAGTGTCACAGCAGAGTTAACTGACATCTCGTAAGTCTTTTAATGAGAAGAAAAAAGTATTAAAACAAAAGGAAGTCTATGGATCTGACATCTTAAAATTCTTTGTTGCACTTTTTCAATGCTTATTCGCTTTACAAGAAGTATTCTCGTTTTCAGTCACCACCGTCGATAGTCAATTTGGTATTTTTATATTTTATCGAATTTAAGTCAGTGATATTCTGCTAAGGTCATCTATTTTTTTAAAGGATTTCTATTCGTCAGTATCTGCTATATAGTTGTTGAATAACTTTGTACTTAGAATGGCAGAACAAATTTTACTGCAAAAATTACACTTATGGCTAGTATTACCGTAGTGACTATCGCGCTTCTATCTCATTT